AACACAGACAACTGACAGTTACCAATAATTATAAGTTTGGTCCACATTATTCAAAGAATTCACAATCATATATATTGCGTCTACTCACGGATCGAAACGAAGTGTAGTTGACAGAAAATGCATAATATATTTTGTTTCTCTAAATATCATATTTATTGTAACAACAAACTGGCTTGCTTATTTTACCCCATTCAACAATCTCGAACTGATTACTGCCTCATTTCCATGGACTGCTAGTTTACAGTAACATCGGTAAAAATGTGTGAATTTAAATGGCTCCGTATTTTACCCCATTCCATGTGCGTACAACTTCTGCTTACCACGTTCATGAGGGTCCGTATAACCTTAGTGTTGATTATATATATTTTGTCCTCAAAATTCGGCTTATAGACGGTAATATACGGTACAAATAACTCAACAATGGTGCATGGTGACCAGTGGTAGTAAGAATCATAAACTACACAAATGCAAACATTCCAAAGTTATTACACACGAACAGCCTACAGGCATGGTTTGCATTAACATGTTCAAAACAGATCCCAACTTGTCTGTTCTAGCAATGCTATTCTGCATATCAAATATGTTCTTGAACAGTTTTGTATAAATGTCATACTATTGATAGTGAAGCCTGGCCTTGATGTTAACTATTGATAGTGAAGCCTGTCCTTGATGTAAACTATTGATAGTGAAGCCTGTCCTTGATGTTAACTATTGATAGTGAAGCCTGGCCTTGATGTTAACTATTGATAGTGAAGCCTGTCCTTGATGTTAACTATTGATAGTGAAGACTGTCCTTGATTGATTAACTATTGATAGTGAAGCCTGTCCTTGATGTTAACTATTGATAGTGAAGCCTGATGTTAACTTGATGAAGCATGTAACTATTGATAGTGAAGCCTGTCCTTGATGTTAACTATTGATAGTGAAGCCTGGCCTTGATGTTAACTATTGATAGTGAAGCCTGTCCTTGATGTTAACTATTGATAGTGAAGCCTGTCCTTGATGTTAACTATTGATAGTGAAGCCTGTCCTTGATGTTAACTTTGATGTTAACTATTGATAGTGAAGCCTGTCCTTGATGTTAACTATTGATAGTGAAGCCTGTCCTTGATGTTAACTATTGATAGTGAAGACTGTCCTTGATGTTAACTATTGATAGTGAAGCCTGTCCTTGATGTTAACTATTGATAGTGAAGCCTGGCCTTGATGTTAACTATTGATAGTGAAGCCTGTCCTTGATGTTAACTATGATAGTGAAGCATGGCCTTGATGTTAACTATATTGATAGTGAAGCATGTCCTTGATGTTAACTATTGATAGTGAAGCCTGTCCTTGATGTTAACTATTGATAGTGAAGCATGGCCTTGATGTTAACTATTGATAGTGAAGCATGGCCTTGATGTTAACTATTGATAGTGAAGCCTGTCCTTGATGTTAACTATTGATAGTGAAGCCTGGCCTTGATGTTAACTATTGATAGTGAAGCATGGCCTTGATGTTAACTATTGATAGTGAAGCATGGCCTTGATGTTAACTATTGATAGTGAAGCCTGTCCTTGATGTTAACTATTGATAGTGAAGCCTGTCCTTGATGTTAACTATTGATAGTGAAGCCTGTCCTTGATGTTAACTATTGATAGAGAAGCCTGTCCTTGATGTTAACTATTGATAGTGAAGCCTGTCCTTGATGTTAACTATTGATATTGATAGTGAAGTATGGCCTTGATGTTAACTATTGATAGTGAAGCCTGTCCTTGATGTTAACTATTGATAGTAAAGCCTTGATGTCCTTGATGTTAACTATTGATAGTGAAGCCTGTCCTTGATTGATGTTAACCTGTCCTGATGTTAACAGATAGTGAAGCCTGGCCTTGATGTTAACTATTGATAGTGAAGCCTGTCCTTGATGTTAACTATTGATAGTGAAGCATGGCCTTGATGTTAACTATTGATAGTGAAGCCTGTCCTTGATGTTAACTATTGATAGTGAAGCCTGTCCTTGATGTTAACTATTGATAGTGAAGCCTGTGGATGTTAACTTGATGTTAAACTATTGATAGTGAAGCCTGTCCTTGATGTTAACTATTGATAGTGAAGCCTGTCCTTGATGTTAACTATTGATAGTGAAGCCTGTCCTTGATGTTAACTATTGATAGTGAAGCCTGTCCTTGATGTTAACTATTGATAGTGAAGCCTGTCCTTGATGTTAACTATTGATAGTGAAGCCTGTCCTTGATGTTAACTATTGATAGTGAAGCCTGTGCTTGATGTTAACTATTGATAGTGAAGCATGTGCCTTGATGTTAACTATTGATAGTGAAGCATGGCCTTGATGTTAACTATTAATATCTGCAATGCACCTGCAGTGTGATCCAACGTTACACCTATCATAGACCTGTTCAGGGCAGTTAGACAGTTAAGGGTAGCCTAGCAGTATAACACTTCTGACATTACGAAGACATGAGTTTGATTTCCCAAACTGGTCAAACACAGGAGACCCATTGTTGGTCTGCTCAGTGATATTGTCATCTGTTTACACATGTTAAGCCAAACCACATCCTGGTCCTGTTTCTGTTGATCCTGTTAAGTCAACTAGCCAATAGGAAAGTGGTTACATTCAGACTACACCTAATAGTTGTTGGTTGTTGTTCAACGCCACACTCAGCAATATTGCAGCTATATGGCGGCGGTCTGTAAATGGTTGAGTCTGGACCAGATAATCCTGTGATCAACAGCATGAGCATCAATCCACACAATTGGGAACCGATGACATGTGTCAACCAAGTCAGCGAGTCTGACCACCCGATCCTGTTAGTTGTCTCTTACGACAAGCATGGGTTACTGAAGACCAATACGAACCCGGATCTTCTCAGGTTACAAAGACAGAGAGCGTAGGGGCAGGTTATATGTTATGTCTCTTTAAGCAATATTCCACCAATTGTGAGGAACAACAGAAATGGCCTTCACACATTGTAGCCATGTTGGTAATTGAACCCAGGTCTTCAGTGTGGCAGGCTAACACTTGCACTGATAGGCTATCCTACTGGCCCCATCTAGAGGACACTAGGTCAAAGTGCACTAGCATCACACAGTTCTCTCACTGTAGTGTTGTGACGCATGTCAGTCTGTCAGTCAGCGATAGCCCTAACTACTCACAGACAATGTGCCAGTTTCACACAGGATATATATTACGTAAACACCGACACTGTCAATAGTGACCAGACCTTGGTGTGTCATTACGGTCAAGGCTTGTGTATGTATTATCATGTGTATATAACATGGAATAAATGCCGTAGCCTTTAAGCCACATCAGAAATGCTGTTATGTTTTTTGTTTTTAAACTAAGAGTTGAGAATGGACTGATTACACTCTGTGGTGACCTGCCTGACCCTGACGAAGCTTCCGGCATGGCTGTGATATGTTTAGACCTGGTGTGATAAAGTCTTGGTAAATATACCCAATCTGTCTCCGCCTTACTACACAGACAGACAGGCAGGCACTCGAGAGTGAATGTTCTTCTGGACAAGACAATCCTGTGATTGATATCATGAACACCTACCCTGCAGTCAGGGTGTATACACTCACAGTCTCTTCTTGTCATATAAGGAGACACACCTCACATATTTTTGTTTGTTTAGATATTTGCTCAACAAAGGATATCACAAATTTTATCTTATTTGGATGGATACTAAAAATATAAAAATTATACACATATATCATAAAGCAATATGAACTGTTGACATGAATAATGATTGATGAAATGCACTGTATTTAGTGTTAAACACTTCACAACGAGGAAAAAGTCCTAACTGACAACTTCCACATTGTCTTGCTGAAAATGTGTGAAGCCCATTTCTAGTGTCCCCCGCCGTGATGTTGCTGGAATATTGCTAAAAGCGGCGTAAAACCAAACTCAGTCAGTCAGTCTTGCTGAAATATTACTCATTCTGTACCTTCAATAGATTTCATATTTATTATTCATCATTTATTCCTATTAAACTGACTGATCGACACACAACCTATGTGGGAAAAGCGTATGGACCCCAAAAAATATATTTTGATTTTGATAAGTCAAGCCTAGGTGAGTGAGTGAGTGAGTTTAGTTTTGCGCCGCTTTTAGCTATATTTCAGCAATATCACGGCAGGGGACACCAAAAAGGCTTCACACATTGTGCGCATGTGGGGAATCGAACCCGAGTCTTCGGCATGACGAGCAAATGCCTTAACCACTAGGCTACCCCACCGCCCCTCCAAGGTTAGTCTTTCCTTTTAAAAATAAATAAAAATAGAACAAAACAATAAAAAAGGAGCGTATAGTTGTAATAAGTGTTTGAAGCAGGGAGGACTATTATTACTCACAAGGAGAGCATGTTTACAAACTGTCTACAAACTGTCGTGTACGCACAAGTCTAGCACTGGAGTGTGACTGTCGTTCCTATATTTCCTTGTTTCTTCAAACTTCCCTGACAGGCATAGCAAGTTCTGGGTCAACTGTGACACCTCCGCACAGTTGTAAAATGTAACACTTCCAATTTTGAAAAAGGTTAGAAAGGGAAAACAAATCTTTATCCCAAAGAAAACAAGACTAGATGTACATGTACAATTAAAAAGACTTAAAACTAAAACTATTTAAGTAATATTTCTTAAATAAATATCTTAAAAAGTATTCCATAGCATAAAATGAATCCTTTCCATATTAATGAAAAATTTTAGTCAGAAACTTTCTGGTACACGAGGTATCAATTTTGGGATAATTCTGATCAAACAAATTCCACTGCTGCTTAAATCAACGCATCAAATAAAACATCAACATACATCATCACGTCATCATAAATCATCACATAAAAGAACCCCTGGAAACATCACTCTACATTTCAAGCATGCGTCCAAAAACCTAAATATGTAACAAATTTCCCACTTTTTGTGTATGTGAAGAGAGACATGTATATCATATACCCAACGAAAGTATAACTTCATTAAAGGGCAGGTAAACAACTTACTGTAGATGCTGTTGCAACGCAGATGATGGAGACGTTCGTCCACTGACACTGCAGTGTAGCCTGCCTGGAATGAAAGAAGGAGAGAGGTTGATTACGATGCCAGGCGCTAGAGAAACCGACCAGTACTTGCACAGGATACAGATGTCCTACAAGTGGGAAGACTGTGAAGTATTCCCCACTACAACGCTAGGGCACAACAGCACAACGCTGGCACAACACACACCCTAGCCTTATCAGGAGGGAACTGAGTGGACCAGGCTCTCTAGATCACTCCAACAATGTTATTATTAGAAAATGCATAAAGGGTAAGCAAATTTATTAACAGACAATAATGTTTTGCTAAGTGCAACACGTATTATCAAAGCATAGTAGCCTATTGTGGAGTTGCCACAATGTCTGATTAAAGTGCCACAATGTGTATGGTGTGGCCTTTGTGTCTGGGAATAGTACAAAGGCAAGATCAAGCCAATAGGTTTATATGTGAATTGAGTAGGGGAACTGAGAGGGGTTATTGAAAGTATGCCCCAAGGGTTGGTGGAATCAGAGGGACATTGTACCAATTGACTTGGCTGTATCTTGGCATGTATATATCACTGTATGTTATACTATGAAACTGTACCGGAATATTTGCTGTAGGATAAGAAAAACAGACACAACTCCACTTGAACAAAAAGTGAAATTATGATTTGAAAAGTATTTTAGTGGAAAGTGTACATAGGGCAAAAGAAGCATTTAAAACTTTAAAAATAAAACAATATTTTTTTTAGTGTATCTAAATCTATAGGATGTAATTTCATTTTTTTCAGAAAAAAATATTATGTCTGAAGTTTGTAATTTCTGAGAATTAAGGAATGTAGGATCAGTACTGAGGTGAACAGTATAGACACTGTTGTATCTAGAATCAGTATTGAGGGAAACAGCATCTGTGGTACAACCTTATATACCCTCTCTGTCCCTGTATACTAGAACACAAAGTGTTTGTCACCAGCAAACACAGGATTACTGCGAATTGTTGGGAAATAAATACATCTGTGTTAGACAGGTTAACATTTACAAATTAATGAAACACCTGAGTAAACCTGGATTACTGTCACACTGACATGTTTGTTGTTAAAGAAAGCCAGGATATACAAGCAAACCAACAGATTAAAGTTCAGCTCAAGAGTGTATCGTTGTCTAATGGATGTTCTACTCTGAATCAACTAACAGGTGGGATTCTGGCATGTCTGGGTCTGCATGTTCCCCAGAAACTGGTTCTACCCTGAACCCACACATACTGAGGACATTCAGGAGACCTATTCTACCCTCAAGTCAACAATTATGTTGGAGGATTTGGAGACCAGGGTGCGTTGCACAAAACAATCTTAGCGCTAAGGACTACCTTAAGTCTATGTTAAAGTATGGGAGTTACGGTCACCTTAGTGCTAAGACTACCTTAAGTCTATGTTAAAGTATGGGAGTTACGGTCACCTTAGTGCTAAGACTACCTTAAGTCTATGTTAAAGTATGGGAGTTACGGTCACCTTAGTGCTAAGACTACCTTAAGTCGATGTTAAAGTATGGGAGTTACGGTCACCTTAGTGCTAAGACTACCTTAAGTCTACCTGTTAAAAGTATGGGAGTTACGGTCACCTTAGTGCTAAGACTACCTTAAGTCTATGTTAAAGTATGGGAGTTACGGTCACCTTAGTGCTAAGACTACCTTAAGTCAAATGTTAAAGTATGGGAGTTCACGGTCACCTTAGTGCTAAGACTTACCTGTTAAAGTCGGTCACCTGTTAAGACTACCTTAAGTATGTTAAAGTATGGGAGTTACGGTCACCTTAGTGCTAAGACTACCTTAAGTCTATGTTAAAGTATGGGAGTTACGGTCACCTTAGTGCTAAGACTACCTTAAGTCGATGTTAAAATATGGGAGTTACGGTCACCTTAGTGCTAAGACTACCTTAAGTCGATGTTCAAGTATAGGAGTTACGGTCACCTTAGTGTTAAGATCGCTTTGTACAACAGCACCCTGTTCTAACGATGTGAAAAAATATTGAGGAGTTTCTGTTCTACATCCAATGTACCACCATACTGTTGTTCTGCAGGGTATGAGCCTGCATGTTGGAGTGGGTGGTATTCTGCTCCAAACCTTTGAGAGGACATCCTGTCCATTTGGTAATTACAGTATGTGTACAAAAGGCATATGCATACTTCCAAACGTCAATCCCGATGTGGGACACACTAGGTACTGAAGATCTTCTCTGACCGTGAATCCCGATGTGGGACACACACTAGGTACTGAGGATCTTCTCTGACCGTGAATCCCGATGTGGGACACACACTAGGTACTGAGGATCTTCTCTGACCGTGAATCCCGATGTGGGACACACACTAGGTACTGAGGATCTTCTCTGACCGTGAATCCCGATGTGGGACACACTCCCGATGTAGGTACTGAGGATCTTCTCTGACCGTGAATCCCGATGTGGGACACACACTAGGTACTGAGGATCTTCTCTGACCGTGAATCCCGATGTGGGACACACACTAGGTAATGAGGATCTTCTCTGACCATGAATCCCGATGTAGACACACTTAGGTACTTCTCTGACCGTGAATCCCGAGGGGACACACACACTAACTGAGGATCTTCTCTGACCATGAATCGATGTGAGACACACATTAGGTACTAAGGATCTTCTCTGACCGTGAATCCCGATGTGGGACACACACTAGGTACTGAAGGATCTTCTCTGACCATGACCGATGACACACACTAGGTACTGAGATCTTCCTGACCATGAATCCCGATGGACACACATTAGGTACTGAGGATCTTCTCTGACCGTGAATCCCTGATGTGAGACACACATTAGGTACTAAGGATCTTCTCTGACCGTGAATCCCGATGTAAGAGGATCTTCTCTGACCGTGAATCCCGATGTGAGACACACATTAGGTACTGAGGATCTTCTCTGACCGTGAATCCCGATGTGGGACACACACTAGGTAATGAGGATCTTCTCTGACCGTGAATCCTGATGTGGGACACACTGGGTACTGAAGATCTTCTCTGACCGTGAATCCCGATGTGAGACACACATTAGGTACTAAGGATCTTCTCTGACCATGAATCCCGATGTGGGACACACACTAGGTAATGAGGATCTTCTCTGACCGTGAATCCCGATGTGAGACACACACTAGGTACTGAGGATCTTCTCTGACCGTGAATCCCGATGTGGGACACACACTAGGTAATGAGGATCTTCTCTGACCGTGAATCCCGATGTGGGACACACACTAGGTACTGAGGATCTTCTCTGACCGTGAATCCCGATGTGAATGAGGATCTTCTCTGACCGTGAATCCCGATGTGACACACACTAGGTACTTCTCTGAGGATCTTCACACACTGACCTTCTCTGACCGTGAATCCCGATGTGAGACACACATTAGGTACTGAGGATCTTCTCTGACCGTGAATCCCGATGTGAGACACACACTAGGTACTGAGGATCTTCTCTGACCGTGAATCCCGATGTGGGACACACAGGTACTGAGGATCTTCTCTGACCGTGAATCCCGATGTGGGACACACATTAGGTACTGATCTTCTCTGACCGTGAATCCCGATGTGGGACACACACTTCTCTGACCGTGAATCCCGATGTACACACATGAATCGATGTGGAACACACACATTAGGTACTAGGATCTTCTCTGACCGTGAATCCCGATGTGGGACACACACTAGGTAATGAGGATCTTCTCTGACCGTGAATCCCGATGTGGGACACACTGGGTACTGAGGATCTTCTCTGACCGTGAATCCCGATGTGAGACACACACTAGGTACTGAGGATCTTCTCTGACCGTGAATCCCGATGTGGGACACACACTAGGTAATGAGGATCTTCTCTGACCATGAATCCCGATGTGGGACACACTGGGTACTGAGGATCTTCTCTGACAGTGAATCCCGATGTGGGACACATACTAGGTACTGAGGATCTTCTCTGACCGTGAATCCCGATGTGGCACACGCACTAAGTACTCAGTATCTCCTGCAAAGACTACTGAGAATTTACTCCAGCCTGGGCACCTTTAACCACGTACACATCACCTGTTTCTGTGGTTGTAGATATCTACAGGCTGAGACCGTCAGTATGGAGGGTTCCAGTGCTAGACCAGGTATATGTAATTAGAATAGAAGTGAGGCCAGCGGAAGTCTGGCAGTAGCGATAGCTTATACTGCAAGATTGTCTGTTATAATCAGTAATTCCCTGGATGCAGCACTACCACTGCTAGCACAGTTTCTCTCCATTTTGTGTTTATAAAGTAAATTAGACAAAAAGGTCAGGCTGGTAGAAAAAGTTATCAGGTATCAGGCTCCTCCCCTGTCCTCTGTGTGTGGGGGAAGGCTCTGTATCTTGCTGATGAAATACTGTAAACATGTAGAGATAAAGAGCTGGCGTGCTTCAACGTGTTCTTGAAAACTTACACATGGTGTACCTCTGGCAGATGCTGATTCATTGCATGTGTCTGGCAAGTCAGTTGATTTGGGTGATTTTTATTACATCTTTCATTAAAATATTTACATTAAAGAGCTAATTAAAAACCCAGACAAAAAGACCACTAATTACTTGTGACTGTTTTTAAAAATTTTTGGCTGGTGGATTGGTGAGAAATAACATTTTTAATTTCTTGTGCCATAATTGGATGGGTGTGGATCGTGTGTTCCAGGATGGTTGGGTGCAAGAGTAGGACGGCCAACTGGTGCTGTGTTATACAGCTTGGTAGAGCACCTGGTGTTGGGTTTTACAAGTGGGAGACCACCTGGTGTCAGGTTTTCCAAGTGGGCAGACCACCTGGTGTTGGGTTTTCCAAGTGGGCAGACCACCTGGAGCTGAGTTTCACAAGTGGGGAGACAACCTGGTGTTGGGTTTCACAAGTGGGCAGACCACCTGGAGCTGGGTTTCACAAGTGGGGAGACAACCTGGAGCTGGTTTTCACAAGTGGAGAGACCACCTGGTGGTGAGTTTTACAACTCGGGAGACTACCTGGTGCTGGGTTTCA